TATAAAGTACGACCTATATTCAAGTGGATTTACACATTTCGTTGTCTACGATTACAATTGGTTTGTATTGTGCTAGGAATGTTATATGTAAAGAAGTACTGTTACGATAAAGATACTAATTTGGCCAGAAAGGTTTTGCGGGTCTCCGCTAGTATTTCTATAATTATCTTGAGTGAGCAATAAGTAATTGTACAGAAATGATCTGACTAGAAATGTTCTACACAAACACTATAGAATAATTACAATTCACACACAAGATATTCTATTTTCAATATAAATTGAGAATTTTTAAAAATTTTCTGGTACTTGAGAACATATTACATGAACTATATATGTATAAGAGTACACTTTAAAATGAATAGTACTAGCTTGTAAAAAATAGTTTTATTAAATAAAATTAATATTTCACTTACACTTTTATTCTTATGAAATATTAAAATCTATTATAGTAGAAAAATTCTTAATACCGGTCAATAAGTGCTATAATAATGTTTTTGACATTGACATTCTGATGGAGCTCAGCACAAGCCTTCAAAAAGCTGTTCAGAGTCTGGAGATGGAACTCATCAGGGAAAACTTGAATGATACACTCCATTAAATACTCTTGTGCTATAGCATCTCTACAGCTCACAACTTGCTCTAGGATCCCTGGAAGAACTATCTATAAAGAAAAAATTTGGGAGAGAAGAAAAAATCAAGTCAAATGATGAGCAGTGGAGATGACCAATAATGCAATAAGTCAAAAATGTGATAAAAATTTCAAACAAAAGGCAAGAACTGGAGAAAAAAGTTATGTGATAAATCAAAAAAGGGTGAAAAATGGCAAAAAAAAAGTTATAAAAACTAGAAGTGAGAATAAGAAAGAACAAATATAAAAAACAAAACAAGAGAAAAGTTATTCTTTGATAGACTGTTTAGACAGAGTATTCACGATGAGTAAACTGAAATGGACGGTAACTTCCTATTGCAAAAAACACAACTTTATTTCAACAAAGTTATAAAGCTTTGTGTATTTTATCCAAATACTGTGCTTTGGCTGGTTCTAAAAAATCTTTAGTATGTATTAATCATGAAATATTATTTATTGAATAAATTATTTCAACCTGTCATTGGGACAAAAAGTCAACTTGTATCTGATTGGCTGCTGAACATGCATCACAACACGTCAGAATTCCAACAAAGCAAAGATTCACACTCAAGTTGTTGTTAGCAGTTGTATATCTCCTGATTTTTGCACACACTTGTATTCTATTATTTTCCAATACTTTTTCAGTTTACTGCTGCAATTCCACCTAACAAAGAAATTTCCAAAGAAATGGAAGCCATGCAGGTCAATAAATTTTTATCTTTCAATGTGTTTATCAGCCTGCACATTCTGAATAATTTTATTTGTTGTCAAGGGTATTGCCATATGTATCAGTCAACATAGGGTATGATGATTACAAGTAAAATCATGAACCAGATTAAGCATTTTATTCATTTTATACCTGAAACAAAAAACTAATAAGAGCACAAAGAAACAAAATATCAATAACGTACATCATAAAACTGTATTTACAGTCCTAGTTGTCCCTCAAAAGCTGAATACTCTCTCTTAAATGATTATCAATGGACTAAAATGTCACTAAATATATTCTGGCCAAGATCAATCAATGTATAAATAGCAGGTGAACTAATCAGGTATAAGCTGATGGGTTGTCGTTAATGGCAAATATTTGACCATATCATGCACAGCAGTTAGGTTTATGACACTTATTATACAATAGCTATTTCAATTTGTAACTCTTTTCTCTATCTCTCTCTTCATTAATGAATTTTTAGCAATAAATGATAAGACATTATGCTACAAAAACTGTTGATTATTATTAAGTGTTTATTAGTCAAGTTCTGAAACTTTATCCTAGCAAACAGTTTATGATTTTAGTTTCTGACAAATGAGTTTTTATTTTAAGCTAACATCATTCTAGCAATAATCACATTACACCTGTATGCTTGCAAATGGAGATACATAGTTCCAAGCCTGTGTTGTCAATTCAGCATATTTCACATTTTATGAATCACATTTTATAAATATTTTTTTCATGAATTTAAGATAAACACAATGGTAAGGCTTGTTGTCAATAAAAATAGGAAATTTGGAAACCATAAGGTTAGAATTTTCAAGGATCTTTTACTAAAAAACCAACAATTTTTTCCAGGATTTTCATGAACTGTACAAACCCTATAGCTACCTTAATATACTGTTCTTACATTCTTTCTTATGATGATTAAAATGCACTATTCCATCAGTTCATTAATCCGGTTTTTCATTTGTTGTTTGTTATATTGCAAAACTGATACTATCTATTCACTGTTTCAGTAATAGTAAAACAATCTGAAAACTACAAATATGCATTGTTCCTACTGAATGATATGTGGGAATATTGGACATTATGTAATTAAGTATGTATTAAATAATATATACTGGGATTCAAATAATAAGTAACAATTTCAAAAGAATATTTAATAATGTTTTAGACATTCTTTAGCAAAACATTTAAAATAGTCTCATTATTCAACTTTTAAAATATAAGTGTGTGTGTGTTCATATTAGTCATTAGTTAATTTTCATGCAATTTCACCATGCATAAAAATCTGTTCGCAAGATTTTATATTAGTTTTAAAGATTGAAATTTCACTAGGATATTATCAATCTTAAAATAATACTTAACCCTGAAACACTGTATGGCTGTGACTCATTACTGTTTGAGGAACTGGGAGTTCATTCTAGAACTATATGCAGAAAAGCCACATAATTTTTTTTTTCAAAACTAAAATCATTGTATAAGATATGAAATGCACAATGTTATTATATGTTTTATTATATATCACAATTTTGCTTAAATCAAACCTGCCTTGGCAACTTATGAAACCTTGAAGTTTTTATGTATTCTCTTGTAAATGTTTTTTGTTTATGTATTCATCTTGCTATGCACAATATTATATAAACAGTACTATTTAGAAATAAGTGGAACGAAAAACATAATAAATAAATCCAAACTAAGTAATTAATTTCCAAAGCTCAATTAACACCTGTTGTAAAGAAATTATGACAGCAAAGTCTCACTCGACAGCATGTATTTATCCTATGTGAATAAAATTTATCACCTAAATATAACAAAAATAACTTATTTCCAATTAATACCCACTTCCTTTAGGAGTTCAAATTGTTCTACTAATGCACTTGATCACATTAACATTTATTATGTGAATTAATATTTACTGTCCTACATTCAATGGGACAATGCTGTTTTTTTTAAGTACAGTATACATACTTTAAAAAATAGATAATGCAGCAAGTCACAGACAAATCTTTTTATAAATATGACAAAAAAAAACATCTAAATTACATGAAAACAATTTTCAGTTTTAATCTCTTAAAAAAGTTACAGAAACAACAATTAACCTTTTTGTATTTTTCCACATCAATGCTCTCCAACTGAGACAGTCTAACCAAATTTGTCCCAACAAGCAAGCGCAGTTCTTGTCTCTCCTGCTCTCTCCTCTCCTTTTCTTTGGAGTGCCCCTGGTGTTGCATGCGCACCCACAATTTGTTCATCTCAGCAAAGTTTATGAGGATGAAATCAACAGAATCTTTCACTGTTCCAACAGTCTCAGCATGTCTAAAAACAATGAAAACAGGAAGAAGTAAACAATTTGTAAACAAGTTGTATAATCTTCCATGTATAACAAAAATCTTCAGGAGGGAAAAAACATTCATGACAGAATGTTATTAAATTATGATCATAAATGTTAATGATAACATGTTTATTATACAAGTATTGTGTGCTGCATAATCTTAAATGTTTAAATAGATCACTTAAATTTGTACCAAATGCTCAAACAGTTTATAGTTCAAGTAATTACTACTGTGATTCAATTCATTTAGTATTTATTACTTTTCCCTAGTGTATACACTGTAATTTAATAACTATTTACTTCTCTAATTTTAAATGAATAGTTTTATTTTGCTCACATATATTACTTTATTGGTAAATGAACACTTTAAGTTAAACAAAAAGATATATATATTTTATTCATTTATTTTTCTGTGGAAAAGCTAAAATATGCCCCTTATGGATGCATCATGAAGTTTTTCATAATGCTTTATTATTAAGTATATTTCATATCAGTGAAACAAAGATAATAAGTAACTAAAAAAATGCTAAAAATATGTACAATAAACTTCTACAAACATAAAATGGTGTAAAGTTGTCAAACTTTAATTATTTCTCTCTCTCTGAAATTTGACATATTGGGTACAAAAATTAAAATTTTTGGAAGGCAGTGAAGTTTTTTGTTTTTTTTTAAAGGAGAGATAGAGATAAAGGATGGAAGATATGATTGACCAATAAGTATAGTGATTTTGCTGATAAAATATTGCAATAGATTAACAAACTGTACAATACAATATTTAATAAGCAAAAATTTAAATTATAGAGTTTAACAAAACTTTTGTGAAAGCTATTCTCTAACTTTCATCTCTTATCCCATTTTTTAAAAACAAACAGGGAGATGATGTGGTAAAAGTAGAGAACTGCAGCTATTTAAATGTGTAAATTCAAATAGAGCAACATATTTTGAATTAATGTTGTTAACTAATCACAAAAGAAGTAAATATTTGCAGAAGGGTCGAGAAATTGGATTTTTTTTTTTTTTTTACAAACAAGCAAGCCCTTTTAGCTGTACCTATGTAAGTGAATTATTAATTTATTATGGAAAATACACCGAAAAATAATATATTATTGTTTATAATTATAACAACCGTTCTGTATTGAGAGTTTGAAGTACTTATTATTATCTTACTAGATAACAGATGCAACTAAATTCAGACTAACACAAGAAATAAACACAGCATTCACAGAATTTTAAAGTTTTGGTAAACAAGTCAAGCTCTAATCTCTATATGATTTCAAAAATACTTTATTTGTATGTTCCTTATATTTTGTATTATTTGTTTCTTATGCACATTAACATTTTCAGTCATTCTGTATTTTATAACTTATGATATGGCACTAACAATGGCTCAGAATTTTTATCACAACCTTATCATTTAAGTTTTCAAATTTTTCTCAAACACTTTTGGAATAGAAAAATATTAACATATTTCAGCAATCAAATTTTGCCTAAACCTTATAGAAATATTCCTTGTCAAATCTTAGCATTATTCTAAACTTTTTGGTGCATTCATAATTTTTATAGTCTTCAATTTTGTTTGGTTACAGAGCTATCGAATAGAAAATCAGACCCCCTCCTCTCACATCCTCTCTTTCACAATTCATTGATAGTTCTCTCTTACATTTCATTATATATTACCTAGAACCAATAGACAGTCGAGGTTTTCATCTATCAAATGATGTATTGTATAATGTTAAACAGAATATCATCAATTTCACTCACAGTACAAGATTCGTTCCTGTGGGAAAGTCAACAACTAGCTTGGATGAATTAGTAACAGCTCTTGTCACATAGTTAGAAAGCCAGAAAAATTTTGAGAGGTAAGGGAATTTGTCTACTTTTTGCATGTTATTATTCTATATTCTTTGATGCATTATTTAACTAAATAAAAGTTATTAAGTGCATTACTATAAAAAATCAGGCTAAACTGTCCTCAACAGTCAAGGGCAAGAAAAAAGAAGATTTGGTAAGTACTTTATTTCTTGTTTTTCATATTTATTCTTATTTATTATTATAAAAGTAACTAAAATCTAAAAATACAGATCTTTTTAAGATATTTAAGACTAGATTAGGTAAAATAAGTAATAATAATAATAATATAATTAAAATGGCTCACGAGGCACACACTCAAGCAGATAATGGATAATGTAATTCAATAGCGTAACGTGAGCTGCACATTCTTCAAGTGATTTACAACTTATAATGGCATGGATAGTAGTTAGACATGGTTCAAAGGGCAATAAAAGAATAATATTTAATTATAAATAGATATATACTGTTATGAACTTAGAGATACTTAGGATAAACAAATGTAGTTTCATGTTACAATTTGAAGTCATTCTAGAAAGAAAAGAAAGGGTAATTTAGGTTTATTTTGATTTTTTTTTAGTGGTTACGAGGTTAGTTGAATTGACCGATCCTGTTCTGAGATAGGGTAGAAAAAATAACAGACAAAGTATAAAGTTTTACTGAAAAAAAAACGTTTGAAATTGCTTTAGAAGATTTCAGGGATTACACAAGGGAAATTTGACATTTTTGAGATGAGGAAAAGTATTTTTAATTTTAACATGAAAATTATACTTAAAATATTTCACTACAAAATATGTTTTTTGTATGTGAAAGACTTGTAATATTAACTGTATATTTCATTAAAATATACACACTATAATGAGAGTTATAAGTATTAAATCTATAAAGACTTTAAATGAGTACAAAAAGGTCACTTGGGTGGTCAAATTGACTGAGCCCGTATTGAGTGAGTTAATTAGTTTTTATTTATAGTATTCATGTAATTCTTTTAGCTACATTACTCATTACTCTAATCCTGTTCACGATACCATGAAATCACAATGGATCAAAAAATAAACCAGAAAAAAACACAACAGTTTGAGCACTTTTAGAAGGCAGCTATTTCTTTATAAATTTTATATTATTTAGAAAGATTTAATATTCAAATAGTATTAAGTATTAATCTAATGTTTATGGTTAGCAGCATGGAGAGTACAGATTTTGAAAGAATCAAACACTTCCAACACGTAACTTATTGTGAACTGCATAACTACCAAAAGAGTAAGTAAAAACAAAAAACTATCAACATAGTTTTTGCTAAGTTTGAATGATGAAAAAGATGTGCAATACCTAATTGAAAAAGATTAAAAGATATATATATTATAAACTGTTTCCAAGAATTGTTTTTCAACAGTTTTTCAAATGCAAAACTTCCTTATATAATGTTTTATACTTAGAAGTGACAAAAAGTATCCAGAAAGCAAATAAAGGGGGTTAGATAAGACAAATGACAGACTTAACATAATTACTGAAGCATGTAGTTAGAGCAAATTCCAACAGTCAGTCAATAAGCATAAATATCAAGATTAGTTAATTTTATTATCCTATTTTTTCCTCTCATACTTTCTTTCACTTAGAGATAACCAAACTTAACTTTAGGGATAAAAAGCATGAAAATATATATACCTTCATTGTTATACAACAAATACATATCAAAACAGTTTTCTACAAAAAAATCACTAGTCTGTGTATTCCAAAAGTTATAATTTTTCTATATGAAAATGTATTTCCAATAGGTACTTCCCTCCACGCATAAGATTAGCTATTCTCGTTTTGTGCTGCCCTCTATATGCAAAACTTTTTTCAAAATGCATGCCACAAGCCTTCTTCATTCCTCTGTTGGAATCCAATGTTCCAACATGTCTTTCATGTAAATCGTCATGTGTCATTTCTCCATCAATAGGAGAGCACTACTATCTCGTGATGCATGTGATTCCCTTTACATGCCACTACTGAATCATCATTTCAAAATGTGGCAGAAAATGCTAGCACAGGAATATTGTGGGGGGAACGGGTGGGAAGTGTGAGAGGAGGGAAGTACCTATCGGAAATTCATTTTTGTATAGGAAAATTATAACTTCCGATAAGGTACTCTCCTTCCACTCACAAGATTAGCTAAAATCCCAGATTGAAAAGGAGGAGGGACCAGTGTGGGTGAAGAACAGGTGTATGCCCCAAAAGCATCCGAAGGACACCCCTGGAAATGAGAGAAACAGATCAGATGATCTGAGGAGGGGCACCACACCACTTCTGAACCAGGTATCTCTTTGTAATGAACAGGTGGGATCAAAACATGGCAGAATATAAAGGGAGTATATCTATGTGGGAGAGGATAGGTCAGAAATGTGATCCCAATCAGAGAAAACAGATACACTGAAATCCACGTAATGAAAGAGGGTAGTGAAGGTTGTGTTCCACGTTGTAGAGTGGCTAAGGTACGTCGGACCATACTCAATAAGTCAACTACATCCAAAACCTCACTCGCAAGGTTACCGACATCCATGCAAAGGTAGGATGAGGATCATACAATCTTCACCTCAAGCCATCGAGTCATCAATGTTTGTATAATATTGACTCCAGGAAATGTCACAGGTGAGCATTGAGGTAAGGACATGGGAATGTGTTATCTGGTTTCCAAGGGAAGTTCATAGCAAGCAATCAACCCCTGTGACTGTGAAACCAGTCCGAAACATCCACAGGTCTGTAACATCCTCCTCATTCTGAAATCTAGGGAATGCTCAGGACAGAAGCGAAATTAGGCCATGTATACCTCCAGCGACCCACAACACAGAAGACAGAGTCGAGGGGAGAAGATGGACAACCCGAAACCTATGTGAGTGGTTCACTCAACCTCCAAAACCTCACTTGCTAGGAACTGACATCCACATGAGGGTAGGAGGAGAGCACCCAATCAGAAGGGTGAACTGCATTTAGGCATCTCACTCTGGGTATGTATAACTCAGCTGGAGGATCTTGTAACTCCTTCTACACCGGCAGAAAACCACCACCCAGCCCTGAACTGATTGGTTATAGCCATCTTTGTGGAACCCAGTCAGCAGGTTGCCTCCATGGTCAATCACCCCAGCAGTTTGGAACT